CAGTATTTATTGAGCTACATCAGAACAGTGGACATTCCTGGAACCAGAGAAGCACTTCATGGGACAGATCAAGCCTGTGAAGGCAAGGTGGGATCAGGAGGCACCCACAAGGTGGTTTTCTTTCTTGACCAACTCTGATCGTTTTTCTTTCATTTACTGGGAGATGTTTATTAAAGTCCATTGGATAGTAAAACCATGACGTGTCATAGTTGCTATCAATAAAAATAAGTGCTAATTCTTATTTAGCACTTACTTGATTTTAAACACTGTTATAAATGTGTATTAACTCACTGAATTGTTAGAATTATCATCAGGCCCAGGTGTGGTGGTGTAGGCAGTAGGGCCTTGCTCTAAAGTTGAAGAAGCCACATGGAAGCCCTGGAGTTTGGATCCTTAGTTGACCTGAACATGCTGGGTGTGGCAACATGCCTGTGATCCTGGCTGGGCAGAACGATAGCAGCATGAGTGGATCCTGTCAGGGGCACCTATTTCTCTCTCTGTGTGTGTCTCTGTCTCACTCTCTCAGTCTCACTCATGTAAAAAAATAAACTTTTTCTAAGAAAAGAGAATTACTGTCGTCCTCTCCTCCCCCAGGAAACTGAGGCATTCTCAGATATTATATAAGACTTAAGTAGCAGAGCTAGGTTATAAATCTAGGTAGCCGTACCACAGAGTCTACAACTGACTCTATCATATACTACCTCTTGGCATGAAGAAGTAGGTTTGACCTAATTAAAAATGCTGGTTAAAAATGTTTGATTTTCATTACTTGCTTGAGAATTCAGGTACTAAATATCTCAAAATCTTAGACACTGTTACACGAATTAGAGAAAGATATATCTGTAATTGATTTTAGTTCAATCCAGGACACACCAAATGTGTTGCATGCGTGCCTAAACTCTTGAAAGGTGGTAGACAAATAAAGGAGAAGGGATTGTGGAGTGACAGGTTGGGAAAACGAGAAATCACGAGCCACAGGGATGGCCAGGCTGCAGTCCCTTCTCCTCCATTCTCCTGCTGGGATTTTGGATACACATGTTTTGCAAGCTGCAGAGTTCATGACTCAAAATGCCGAGCTGGCCATGTGGTATCCAGCCACCTTAGCCTCTGTATCGCCTACATGCCCAACAGAAGTAAAATTTTACTTTATTTTTTTGAGAGGTTTTTGCCTTGGGGTGCATGTGCTAACTGGAGAGACAGAGAAAGAAAGTAAGAAATCACCCCCAAGGGGCATGGCCACGCCACAATCCCTTCTTCTGCATTCTCCTCTCAGGATTTTGGGCACTCATGAGCACACGACCAGTTTGAGTTTCAAGTCGCCAGGCTGGGACTCAAACCACAGTCAGCCATGTGAGAGTCCAGCAACAATCATTATACCATTTGCTGGTCCCAAGAAGTAAATTTTAAAAGCTTTTTATTTTACATGTTTTCTATTTCTCAATTTTTTTCATAAGCAAAATAAAGCAGTAGGAGATACCAAACCGAAATGAGCATAATCTCATTGATTTCTTATTTTTCCTATTCTTTTTTCTAGTAAAAACTTTTTTTTTTTTCTTTTAAATTACTAAAGAGTGCGTGCCCTTACCAGAGAGAGAGAGAGAGAGAGGAACAAAAGCACCCAATGGGACCTGGTCATGCCACAATCCCATTTCTCCACTTCTTCCTATCAGAATTTTGGGCATGAACACATGTGGCCCAGATGATTTCAAGCCATTTGGTATTCAAATCTATGGTCAGCCATGTGTGGTCCAGCTCCCAATGTGCAGCGCTTTACCATTGCACTACAGGACTGGCTCTAAATAACTTTCTATATGTTATTAAATAAAACTAACGTTATTTAGTGTATAATATGTATAGTGTAATTTAAAATTGTTTTCAACCCTAAAGTTTTAAAGGTAACAAAATAAGAGATACACTCGAAATACTGATATTGCTATTATTTCATTTATTTTCAGCATTTTGAGCATCTGCTGTGTTGGGTACTATGTCAGGCACTAGGTACAGACATATAATGTTTCTGCCTATGAGGAATTTGCTCTGCATCACATTTATCTGTAGTACAGATATAGATTTATTGCTTTGAGAATGGTGATTAGGACCTTGTTAATTTTAGAATCACGAATATCTTTGTTTCTGGTTCACAAGATATATCTTTTAGCATCAGAGTTTCTAACTTCGTTTGTTCTCATAATTCTGCCTGTTACTTTATTACTTCTCTAGTTTATACTGTAATTCTCTGATGAGATCTAGAGAACTACAAAAACTATGCTTTCTAATTTATAGGGCAAGATATTCTTGAATGTTGATAAGACCATTTAATGTTTCAGATTTATCGACTGTGATCACGTCAAGTATTGGAATGTCCATTCACTCTGCATGTATTTGCTGAGCGCATTGTGCTGTGCTAGAAACAACAATCAACAAAATAGGCATATGAGGCCTTTATAAAGCTTATGCAGTCGAGTGGACATTCTCAGGTAGCCTCAGATTTTTGCCTCTGGAGTAATCTGCCCTGTCCTCTGAGTCAGAAGCAGCACCAGTGCCTTCTCATTTATTATGGGATTATCTGACATGATCCATTTCCAGCTTTTATCAGCATTAAATGAGCTTATTTGGGGCCAGCAGGTGATGTAGTGGTTGAGGCGCTGGACTCACATGGCTGACCGTGGTTGAAGTCCTGGACCTGGCGACTTTCTCATTCTCTGTCTCTCTCTGTAAACACACATGCCCTAGCAAATTAACAAGAATAATAATAATAAAGTTAAATAAATAATCCTTTTTATTTTCTTTCCTGTATATTTTCTTTCCTCTTAGCTATACTTTTTGATTTCCTTATCTTGAACCTTATTTAATCTTATTTTATTATTTTATTTGATCTAAGATAGGATAGATACAAAAAAATAGGATATATGCTCCAATAACATTGTTAAGAAGATAGATAGCATTTTGAAAATAGATTTCTCTGCATTTGTTACCATGAAATTAAAATAGGTTCTGAGTGGGGAAGAAAATGCATCATTGAAGGTGGTGGTATATTTAAGTTAAAAATAAAAGCACATATGTATTCATTAGCTTTTTTTGGTTTTGTCTTTGCTTTAGATTAACACTTTCTAAAGTTATTTCATGACAGTGTCTCATGGGGCACAACAAAGTGGGAAAAAATGAAACCAATAAAAAGAATTTCATCGTGAGATTAGTAGAAAATTTTTATTTTCTACTAGTATAGTTATTTAGAATAGTTATTTGGAGAGTTATTAAAGTGCTGAAATCAATATGGCCTGAACATTTAATTGACTTGAGGATAAGGGGAAAGGATAAGTAAGAATAATCTGCACGTTTCCTGTTCGGCCAGCAGGGTAGATAGTGATGCCATTAATGCAGAGAGACTTCAGAAGGAAGACCAGATTTGATAGGAAGATAATAATACTCATTTTGATAGGATTGAATTAAAAACTTTTAAATGGGCATTCAATCTGAATGAGACATTCCAGTGGGCATGCTCAGAAAATGTTAAAGCAGCTCTGTCCTTTCGGAAAAGGATTTAAAGATTTCTGAGTCTTGCGATACTGAAAACCACAGGAGTGATTTATCATCTCAGTGGAGTATAAAGAATAAGAAGAGAAAGGGGCCGTGATTGACACCCTGAGAAACACCAACTTTGAGATGAATGACAGGAACAAGAGCAGGAAGAATAACAGTGGGAAAAATCTTTTAAATGCTGTGGGACAGAAGTTGGTATTTTCTATTGGTGGCGTGGTGTTAAGGGCTCTGGACTTCCACATGGCCGACCATAGTTCAAGTCCCAGACCTGGCGGCTTGCTTTCTCATTTTCCCTTTCTCTCTGTCTGTATCTTTCTCACTATCTCCCTCTCTGGTCAAATTAAAATAAATAAATAAATAAATAAGTTTAAATAATATTTTTTTTAATCTTTAAATAAAAAGATAAGTATAGAAAAAGAAATGTCTGTAAACTACAGAGATTGCCTCTTAATTCATTTATTACTAAGTCATGCCTGACAGTACTTAAGTCTATAGCAGACAAGGAGAATTTTCTAAACGCAGTAGGGGTAGTAAAGGTACTGTCCTAGGGCCTTTGTGTTGTATTAGAGATGGATTTTTATTCTAATTTATATTCTGAAGAACATTGCAAAGAGAAATTTTTCCTAGAGCTGTTCATGGGATAATAAAGTAAGTATTAAGGATGGGAAAGTTTTATTGCAAATCAGCAATTTTTTTTTTCAGAAAAAATATCCAGGAAATTCTAATCTGAAAGAAGACAATTTCACATCTACTATGCCATGACAGTCCTTGACCTATTATTTTGAGCTCTTCAATGGTAAAGTGGAATAGTAATGAAAAAGATTCTAGACTCAGACCAGTGTTACAGAAAATATCTTCCTAAATAATATTTTCAGTTTCATGCCTAAATGAACTAAGCCTAGCAAGCATCTCAAGATAATATTAGTGATAAATTGAGTTAGGACAACAAAAGATTGATATTTTATTTCTGCTTTGAAATTCAACACTTCACATTTGATGTCTCACATACTGGTGTATCTCCTAAGTCATGAAAGTATCATCTTTAAACACTCAGATTCCTCTGATGTCCTACTGGTTATATCCAATCCTGGTTGGGAAATAAGTGTTTCACCTAATCTAAAGCTGCTTATTTTGACTTAATCATGAATTATATTGGTAAGATTGTAATACGCAATATTAATGTATACCTCTATCTTTATAATTATTACTTTACCTCCAGGAAAACTGCATCCAGGAGAATTGGGCTAGAATAGTGAACAAGATGGCTGTTGGTTGCTACAGCATTTTTTAATAAATACGCATGTCCTCAAACTTTTTAGGAAGAGTTATAATATTTGAAAAATACTGGAAATTTGTTTGGTGTGATATAGTTCTTTATAAAATAACTATTTTTGAATTTTGTAGCAATGTTTAATAAAGAAGAGATAAATTCATATATGTGTAAATACAGCACTGCTGTTAAGAACTTTTCTGGAGAAACTTTCTCATGTAACTGTAATTACTTGATTATACTATGCCTTTTTAGAAATGTGCTATAGTTTCAAAGATATGCCTTTGTCTTTTTAAAATCTATATTGTATATTAAGAAACATGCAGCAGAGTGAATTCATTTTTATAGGCACTATCTTTTCAGAGCATTGGTAACTTCGAAAGATATTTGTCAATATATATGTTAATGTGCCTAAAAATATAAATTCTTGCCGTCTGACATGGGTTTTTCTGGCTTTCTGTGCCTTAATCATTCAGTGTTTTGCTCTTGGTCACCTTAACTTTAACCAGTTGAGTTTTGAGTTTTTTCTAGTTTGTGTTTTAACCAGTTGTTTTTTTTTTTTCATCTGTTTTTTTTTTTTTCATATTTCTATCATTCCGGTGTAGGGCATTTCTGATCTGCAATTGTTCTGTAATGATGTTATTAAATTTTAAGTGATATCAAACATATAATGTGTAAATTTATTTTACATGAGATATATTTAAGTATTCTTAAATCCAAATCAATTACCTGGAATTTTGAAATTAAAAAAAAAGTAAACCAACTTGCGATATAAACCTGTTATGTACTTATACACGCAAGCCTCTAAGAGTTTGTAGAAGTATTAAGTTTTAGGGAAAATGTTTTAACTTTGTTGCACAGAAATGTTTGCAGATCAGCATTGCTGACTACCAAAAAACATGTGGTAACATACAATGTCATCTGATTTTTAATTGTGCTTCCATGTTGCTGCAGTTAAATTCTGTGCATCAAAATAATTGGCTTTCATGAACTAGATGTGATTCAATTACATCTTAAGTTTCTATTGAAAATATGCAAACTGAGTGAATTCTAATTTTTCCATGTACTTTTATAGCTTTGTTATCTCTGATAACACCTCATTTGACATCTTTTTTATGTTTATTAATCAATCATGATAAATTGGATCTTTAGATGAAACATTAAATTTCTTAGTTTTTATGCAGAATAGTTTACTGTAATTTTTAAAATATCCATTTATGACAAAAATTACCTAACTTTTTCAGAGCTTTATTTTACTCGTGTATTTTTCCAAGTCTAAACTTGCTTTTTCTTTAGCCCAATATTTATATATTTTAAGAAAAATTTCTGCTTAGCTAAATCTTGCTCATGGCAAACATTTTAAAGAGCTTACTAAAATGTTTCACTAAGGGACCAGCAGTTGGCGTAATGGCCATGTCGCTGGACTCCCACGTAGCTGACCACGGTTCGAGTCCTGGACCCAGTGGCTTAAACTCACGCCAGGCACGTGTGTGTGCACGTGCCCAAGATCCTGAGAGGAGAATGGAGGAGAAGGGATTGCAGTGTGGCCACCCTACCTTAGGGGTGATTTCCCGCTTTCTGTCTCTCTGTCTCTCTCTGTCTTTCTGGCGAGCACACACACCCTATAACAAAAACTTCTCCAAAAAAAAAACATTTCACTCGTGTTTATGTTTATCTTATAATCTGTATATGTGGTAATAAGAGAAATTATTCAGCTTCCTTAGTATTTCTTAACACGAACAAATAAATTTGAGAAGTAATCAGAAACTGAGATTCTACTTAATTTTATTTGGTATTCTTAAGTAACCATCATTTTAGAGATATACATTATCATTTGTTTTAGAATTACCTTAATTAGAAATTAAGAGATGTATTTCTGCCCTTTGGCTTTAAAAGAAAACGAAACTAAAATCCTTGGAACTTTTTAAAATAAGTATTTGACATATTTATGCTTCTTTTTAGCAAACATATGCTTGTTTGTAGAAAATTGTGTAAACATCCCAGCATTTGTTAATTATTTAACAAAAGATGTCCTTCAACATCTTAACAAAGGGATCTTTTCATTAACATTTCTATAGATTGATATGTAACAGTATTCTAGACAGTTTATTTACAATTGACTTTGTTTCTAATTCTGAGATTTTTAAAAAGATATTTGCTTGGGCTTCATCTAGCTCTTATCTTTTTTCTTAAAATAATGTCTACTGAAAACATCTCATTACATATCCTTACCTAGACTGAGAGAAATAGAAATATCCAGATTACTCATATTTTTTATTTACCCTAATGAAAGCATTCCGTAGATTCTGTTTTTAAATAGTTATTCCTTGTCAGACAGCTGGAACATTTGTTAAGTCCCCTTACTGCTACTAAAACTATGGAAAACATTCACCAGTTTGCTTGCAAATCAACTCTGCTGCATGCGTTCACAAATTTCATAAAGATTGCATGCTTTCTGTTTTCAATACAAATTGTATTTTTTTTTCATACCCATCCTTGCTTTTTATTTTTTTATTTTTGTTTCCCTTTCCTTGGTTGGATGCCTGTGTGTGTTTATTCCAAATCCCTGTCCAGTCCTGGAGTTTGAACTACGGAAAGCCAAGGAGACCATTCAGGCCCTCCGAGCCAACCTGACAAAGGCTGCAGGTGGTGTAAATAAAACTTTTTTGAGACTTTTTCTATTTTGACAATGTAGAAGTAGCTCAGATATTTTTAAGTGTAACATAGTAAAGTGTTATTTATATTTTCTTCCACTAGAACATGAAGTTCCTTTACAGGAACGAAAAAATTACAAATCAAGTCCTGAAATTCAGGTAGGTGAATGACAGATCTAAAAGTATCTAATACATAAAATGGTAGTAGAAATGTTGAAGGAGGAAAACAAGGTTTTCAATCTTTCATTTTGCTTTCAGGAGCCAATCAAACCTCTTGAAAAGAGAGCTCTAAACTTCTTAGTCAATGAATTTTTATTGAAGAATAACTACAAGCTAACATCAATAACGTTTTCAGACGAAAATGATGATCAGGTAAAGTTACTTGTTTTATAATAATGACTTATTTCCTTTTTAACTTATAAATTGCTTTCTCTGTTATCCAATTTCTTTAGCTTTTTAGAAGTTACAGATACCAGGTATCTTCAAAAAGTTCATGGGAAATGCATGTTATAAGAAAACTACACATGAATTTCAGAGGTTTTGCATCAAAATAAACTAATTCCATTTTTTTCACATTCTTTTTGAAGTACCCTCATATAGTAAAACTCTACAAGGTTAGTTACCAAACACATGCCCCTTTTCTATTCAATCTAGGGTTCTACTGGTTTATAGATTATTTTTTTCTATTTCTATAATTGTCTGTCTTTTTTTTTTTTTTTTTTTTTTTTTTTTTAAAGAGTTTTTTCCAAAGAGGATTTTCCCATATGGCATGTGCACTCACTGGAGACGGATAGACAGTAAGAGGGAAAGTTAGAAATAACTCCCCACCCCCCAACTCCCACTCCAGAGGATGGCCACACCACAATTCTTTCTCCATTCTCCTCCTGGGATTTGAGATCTTGAACATGTACACACTTGGGCCCAACATGATATTCAACCCACTGGGTCTGGGACTAAAACCATGATCTGCCATGTTGGAGTCCAGCAATGTAACCACTACACCACCTACCAGTCCCTCCTATAGTTTTCTACATCAAGGCTTTTCAATATTTCCAAGTAGCTTTTTTTTAACCACTCTCCAATAACTACACAATCCACTCCTATTTGCCTATATTTATAAAGTATGCTCTTTTAAAGAAATTTAGTTGGTAGTACAGATTAATGTATACTTTTAAATCCAGTTTAATAGCACTATAATAATTAAGATGTTAGGAAATTAGATAACACAGTAATTAAGAGGCAATGTTTTGCATGAGAATGAGGACTATAAGCTATATCTCTCTGAATAGGGGCCAATTCTAAATAAAATGATTGCTTTAGTGTCATCTCTCAAATCTAGAATATTCTATTTTGATTTCTTAATGATAATAGATTAATCTTAATCTTGCCACTTAGAAAATTAAATGCTAGAGAATTTGTTATGTAGAAGTCAGGAGGCCATCATTTTTAAAAAGAGTATTATATTGGTCCTTAAAACTGCCTATGGATCTTTCAGCAGAAATAGAAGTTATCTAAAGGAGATAATTTCGATTTTTTTCCCCACACTTACTGTACTGTACAAGGGGGCTTCAAAAAAAAATTAATTAAAGTGTAAGTTTATGTTAGTACAGAAACTTTTGAAATTCATACATAGTTTTTTCATACTGTGTTTTCCTCTAAATATTTGAAGAGCCCCTTATAGTTGACAAAAATTAAATATAGTAATTATCTTAAAATTAAATCTTAGCTTTACTGAACATGTATATATAAAAGTTATCAAACTTTAGCTAACATAAATATACCATTCTATTGTTAGAGTTTAAGCTAATCATGTTTATAAATGAGTCTGGACCTGGCAGCTTGCTTTCTCACTTTCTCTCTCTCTCTCTCTCTCTCTCTCTCTCTCTCTCTCTCTCTCTCTCTCTCTCTCTCTCTCTCTCTCTCTCTCTCTCTCTCTCTCTCTCTCTCTCTCTCTCTCTGTCCCTCTCTGGTCAAATTAAAATAAATGAATAAATAAGTAAAATTGAATGAAATAATTCAAAATATTTTTAAAAATCATGTTTGTAAATGAACAGCTTAATAATGAATGGGAAATATTTTAAATATGTGAGAAACATTGAGAAGTCAAAGAGAACACAGAAAAAGAGGGGAAAAGGAACAAAAATTAGATGGACACAAGTAACACATAGAAAATAAATAACAAAATTCATGGAAAACAACTAGCAAGATGGTAGATTTAAACCCGGCTATATCAATATTCACTTTAAATATAAATGCTTGATCCTTCTGTAAAGGTAGAAATGATCAGAGATTTGAATGATGCCTTGTTTTTTTTTTTTTTGGGAGATTTTCATTGTAGGGTGCGTGCGCTCGCCAGACAGAGAGAGACATAGAGACAGAAAGCGAGAAATCACCCCCCAGGGGGGATGGTCACGCCGCAATCCCTTCTCCTCCATTCTCCTCTTGGGATCTTGGGCACGCACGCACACGCGCCCAGCGTGAGTTTTAAGCCACCGGGTCCGGGACACGAACCGCGGTAGACTATGTTGGAGTCCAGCGACATAGCCATTACGCTAAGTGCTGGTTCCCGAATGATGCCTTTTTAATAAGCAATAGAACATGGCAGGAGAAAATCACTCAGAATATTGAAAACTTGTGTTATGCTATTGATCAATTTAATATAATTAACATAAAACATTCCATCCTTCAACAGCAAATACATATTCTTTATTTGTACATATACTTCACTTACGAAGGTAGACCATATTATGGGCTATAAAACAAGTCTGAATGTTTAAGAAGAGTTCAAACTAGCAGGTGTCATAGTGGTTAAGATATTGGACTCCCACATGACCAACCATGGTTTGAGTCCCAGACTTAGTGGCTTGACTTCTCGCTTTCCCTTTTTCACTCTCTCTGTCTCTCTTCGGTCAAATTAAAATAATAATAATAATAATAATAATAAATAAATAAATAAATATTTTTTAAAAGTATTTAAGAGGAATTAAGTAATACCAGGTATGTTCTTTGATCACAAAATGAAATGTAACTGTCACTTTGTGGAAAAAGTCATTTTCTGTTTTTTAATGCAAAAATGTTTCATGCTTTCCCCGACAACCCTATTAATAACAATCAGTAACAAAGATAGGGAAAACCCACAAATATTTGGAAACTAGTATTTCCAAATAGCACATAAGTTAAAGAAGAAATTAAAAAGGAAATTATAAAGTATTTTGAACTGCATGAAAATGTGTGGGATATGGCAAAAACAGTTCTTAGAGAGAAATTTGTAGCACTAAATGTCATATTGGAAAGAGGAAATGTCTTAAATCAGTGAAATCAGGTTCTTAAGAAACCAAAAATAGAAAATAAGTATGACCCAAAGTAAGTAGAAAGAAAAAATAATAATAAAAATACGTCAGTGATTTTGGATGAGAAAACAATAGGGAATAATTAATGAAACAAAAAATTGCCTCTTTGAGAAGATCAGTAAAATTGATAAACCTCTAGCCCAAATGAATAGAAAAAGAATGAAGTTACAAATGACCAGAATCAGATATAAGCAAGTTTACATCACTACACATTTTACTTATATTAATAGAATAAGAGAATGCCATGAACAACTTTACTTGAAGGTGATAACTCCTAAAGTTCACTTAAGTAAGATGAACTAGATTATTTAAGTATTTTATATTTATTAAAGAATTTTAATTTCTAGTTAAAAACCTCTCACAACGAAAACTCCAGATCTGTATGACTTCTCTTTCTTAGGAATTCTACCAAATATTTAAGAAGAGGTAATACCCATTTTCCACAAAACTCTTAAAGAAATTGAAGAGAATATTTCTCATCTCATCCTATGCAATCAGCATAAGTCTGATATCAAAACCAGTCAAAGACATTGCAAGAAAAGAAATTTATAACCTTATTTCCTTTACAAACATAGATGTAGAAATTCTACTTAACACTTTAGTAAATCAAATTGAACAATATATAAAAAGGATAGTGCAAGTACAAGATTGATTTAATATCCAAAAGTCAGTGAATGTAATTCACCATGTTAAAATGCTACAAGAGAAAAAAATTGTACAGTTATCTGAGAAGATACAAAAAAATTATTTGATACAATCTATTATTCATTCCCTAAAAAGCCTTTAACAAATTAGAAGTAGAGGGGAATTTTCTCAACTGATAAAGAACATTTATGGGAAATCAACTGCTAACATTATATTAAATGGTGAAAGATGAAATTGAAAAGGATTTCTACTCTCGCTGCTTCTATTGAATATTTAGCATCTTACTGAAGATTCTAGCTGGTGCAATAAGGCAAGAAAAGGTAATTAAAGGTACACATTTTGGAAAGGAAGAAATTACACTATCTTTATTTACTAACAACATGCTCATCTATGTAGAAAATCCTATGGAGTACCCCTGAAAAGATATGAAAATTAATAAGTTATAGAAAAGATGTATGATACAAGAGCAGTATAAAGAAATTAATTGTATTTCTATATACTAGCAACAAACAAACAGAAATTGAAATTTTATAAATACTATTACAATAGTATCAAAGGACAGAAAATAATTTAGTAATAAATTTGACAAAGGCTTATAAACAAAGCTATTAAACATACTAAGAAAAATTAAAGAAGTAAATGAAGAGATACTGTACTGTGCTCATGGATCAGAAGACTCAATATTGTCATGGTGTTGGTTTTGATTGGTATTTTCAATGCATTCTCAATGAAAATCTCTAGCATTTTTTGTAGAAAATATTTTTTTTCTAAAATTAATATGGAAATGGAAAAGAACTATTATAGTCAAACAGCCTTTAAAGAAGAGCAGATTTGGAGTCTTTAATCAATCTGACTTTAAAGTCATAATGTTGTGATCCAGCCAGTGTCATACTAATTACACGGACAAATAAATTAATGAAACAGTACAGAGAATTCAGATATAGATTTATATATAGATAATCTGTTGATCTCTAATAATATGCAAAGTAAATTTCATGTAGAAATGATATACAGTTCTGTGAACTTTTTGAAGACCTCTAATCTCTACCTCTGATTATTCCTCAGTAATTCTTTTCCCATTATTCGAATAAAAACCTCAAATGGGTAAGAGTGTCACATTTAGAATATTCAAATGAATATGCAAGAGTTTCTCAAAGAGATTCTCATAAGTGAACTCTAAATAAATATATAAGATATCAAATTAGAACTAAATTCTGATATATTAAGGAAGATAAAATGGTAACATAATGTATTTGTATGAGTTTGATTACTCCAGAACTTTATATAGCTCTTCTAAGAATCTTTACTCAATGAACACTTGAAGCTGTGCCCTTTTGTACTTTAAATAAAATTGGGTTTGATTGGGACCAGCAGATGGCATAATGGCTACAGCACTGGACTCCCACGCTGTCTACCACAGTTCGAGTCTCGGACTCAGTGACTTAAAACTCACTCCAGGTGTGTGTTCACGTGGGCTCAAAGTCCTGAGAGGAGAATGGAGGGGAAGGGGTTTTTGGGTTGACCATCCCCTTTGGAGAGTGATTTCTCATTTTCTGTCCCTCTGTCTCTCCAGTGAGTTTATGCACCCGATAGCAAAAATCTCTCTAAAAAATAAAAAGTTTGTTGGAAAAAAATAATAATAAGTTTGTTAGATGAAATTCAATAGAATGTTTCAATGCCAAAAGTCAAAGAGTAGTTGTTTTCAGCGTTTTTTGTGTGTCTGTGTGCTAGCCAGAGTGAGAAGGTAAAAAAAATCACTCTCCATGGGAAATGGCCATGCCACAATCCCTTCTTCTCCATTCTTGTTTCAGGATTTTTGCCACACATGCACCCATTGTGATTTTCAAACCACGGGGTCCGTAACTTGGATCATAGTTGGCCATGTGGGAGTCCAGAGCCTTAACCACCAATCCTGCTGGCTTACTTAAAACTTAAAAATGAGAGGTACAGATTATAAACTAAGACTTTCTTAATCTAGATATGTTTTATGACATCATGCCAGTATTTGAGCATGTTTTATAAGCTTGAAACACAAGCCTTAAAGTCGAGTTTACATTTCTGAGAGATTTAATAAAAAGATTATATATGTAATATCTTGACATCTAAGATGATTAAATATGTTTATCTAGATTTGATGTTTATTCACTGGGGCCAGACGCTTCTTCAGCTACTCTGGTTCAG